GGGAATATTTTCTATTTCTAATTTCATTTTTAAAAATCTAGTAACTAATTGACAGACTAATTTCTCAGTGGAAATGGCTGCATTATTCTGTTATATCTCGACCACTTATGGAAATGTGTATTATAAAGAGTGAAATAAGTACTATTATTTTTTGTTTAATCTAATAGCCCACATGTTTTAAATTCAAATGTTTACATTCTTTTCCCTTTTTTCCCCAGATTTGAAGCTCTCTCATACAGCTCCCAGCTCTTTTCCAAACCTGACATTCCCCCATGACCTACGACCTTACCATACGAGACGATGCTCGCAGACACAGCAGTTGAACTCGGTCTTCGCTCTGAAGACCATCTTCCTTCAGTGATCTAGAGATGAGCAGTACATACCACGCTAAAATACTAAAACCCAACATAATTTGAACATTGCCGAGTCACGACGCATCCTAAACCTTCAGTAGCGGTTAAACCTGAAGAGATAAATAAAAGTCAAAGCAGATGTGAAACTTTAAGCGTTGGCGCATTCAATTATTTTAACATGTGTTTGTATTTAGATCTGTGTGGTCCACTGTGGGACAAACATTTGATCCTTAGATCTTCACGGTCTGTTGGTGAGACCTCTAAAATAAAATCTGTGTTTAAGTGTTAATTTTGTCCCATTTACTTGTTATTTATATTATCAGTCGAATTATCAGTTGCCATGACATCATACCTATTGTGTTACCGGGATTTATTTTCTATGTCCTTGACCTTTGACAAAAGCGGACTTTTAAAAAAAAAAAAAAAGCCCAGCGCACCTCATCTCTCGCCTGGCAGACGCCAAAAAAACCAAAACAAGCAGCATTGCAAAACGTATGAACTCACTGCCTTACTGACGAAATCATTCGACCTATAACTACCACGCACACTCCCCCACACACTCTCAATCACTTTACCTCACACACTACCCCACACACACCCCCACACGCTACCCCCCCTGATCTCACTTAACACCCAAATGCATGTGCTCAAACCTACCCAGAATTACCAATATTAAATGCGGGGGGCCGGGGGGGTAGACACAAATACTAA